TTCAAAAACCATGTTGCGACGATCATTCCAATAATTTTAAAAGTCTGGAAAATATTAATATACCTAATAAAAACATTAGTGAGAGTGATTTTTCAAAATTTTCTACTTCTGGCTCCGTCCCGTAATTATAGCATTTGTCCGCTAAAGTTAAGGCAAATATTATAAAAACTGAAGGAATCATCAAGCAATTGAAATGTTTTTACTTTCCTGTCTGTATACGAAAGAATAGGAATCATGATTTTTTCGACCTCGAGTTTTCGACGGATTTTTAGGTTTGGGGGTCCCCTGAATCCGTTTTGACTATTTTCGCGATGATGTCTGTATACTCGATAACTCATGAACAGAATAACGCCAAATTTTAAACTAAAGCTTTGATCAGATTTTGGGCAGTCAGAACATCTGAGGGGGTACTTTGTAGGGGGTCGTTTTTCTACTTGATCAAATATGTTATTAACACATGGAGAAGAAAATTCTAAAAGCTGCTTATGATGTTTTTCTCTATAATGTTTGTCCTATACATAATTCTCCTAAAATGAACTGTATTCGAGATATTTGAGGAAAAGTACAAATTTCGAATTTTTTGAAGATAACTACAAAATGGATAATGAGAAAAACACCAAATTTCAAACTTAAGCTTTAATCCTTGCTGCGGTAAGCTGTATTTTGGGCATAGTCAAAGCATCTGGGGGAAGGTCCTTCATAGGGTGTAGTTTAAGGTGTACATTAAAGAATATCTCTGTTATTTACGATTGGAGAAGACAATTCTTCAAATAAAAGTTGTTTTCGATATTATTTTCTATAATTCAATGGTTTCGACTAACAAGGGGATAAGTCCAAATTTGTTACTTTTCAGGAAATTTGATTGAAATTGAAGTGCTAATTTTAAATAGGCATGAATTCATATAGATTTAAAATTATTGTGCTAGGTAGAACTTTTGATGTACAGTCAACTTACTTTACCAAATTTTCACTTTAAAAGTTGTATAAGAAAATGTAGTTAACTTGTTTTAACCCAAAAATGACTTATCCTCTTATTCCCCGAACCACGGAATTTTTACACTTTCTCTAAACTGGGCCACAATGAAAAACTTTGAGGAAAAGTGTAAAATTTTTATTTTTTAATACCTATTTTCGTTGGCAATGAACATATACAAAAAAAAAAAATCGAGTAATATGTTTGTGGACAATGTATTTAGTTCATCCTCTAAATTTGACAGGGGTGATACAATATGTTGTACAAAATAACCGGAAAAAGCCTGTAATCACTAGATAGGAAAGTCATATCAGATTATTTAACTGGTATACCTACATGAAAGAAAACTGTAGCGTATTTTTAAAGATGGTGTCCGAAAGAAATCAAAATCGAAAAGGTCATAAAATAGCTGAAATCATATGGCGAAAACGGTTAGGATATTTATTTGCGATACCCATCAGCAACTTAAAAATGAAATTGTAAACTTACACGAGAATCAAATGTAGATCTAGTTACTATTCATCAAAGCTCCAAAAAATGTTTCAACAACAATTTCGGTACAAGAAAAACATGCCGAAAAAAGACAAAATGTACCAATAGTTCATTCAAAAGAAACTCATCATATTAAAATTATAAAAAAACACGGGTTGCACTCCGGGAGTGCCGGCTGAAGTGAAAACTTGAATATTACCGTTGTGCATTTTTGATTTTTTGGAATAGTTATGGAATAATTTTGAACGAATGCCTATTATTATTCCAATTTTTTCCAATTTATTCCAATTTATTTCAATTTATTCCAATTTATTCCATTTTATTCCAATTTATTCCAATTTATTCCAATTTATTCCAATTTATTCCAATTTATTCCAATTTATTCCAATTTATTCCAATTTATTCC